CTTTTGGGTATCATAGATGCAATTGGTCGCTGCGTATGCTGATACGATGAACAAACCTTTTAGTGTTGCTTCCCTTCTGGACTCTGATTGAACCCTGGAGACGCACTGCACATAAACGACTGTCGACGGGGATCCAATCGGTAAGAGAGGACTCCTCCCTATTACTCAGTACAATACCTACCCCGCGCTGACCTACTGAACGAGCTTCATCGTCGCCTGATGTGCGAAGAACGTATCATGTCGGAAAATCTAGCGCGCACAAGTGGCTTAGAGTAATAGGATCCTGGATCCGAGTTTCCGACACGCAGCAAATATCGATTCCTAAGGATTCCATTGTGTGAGCCAGACAAGCTTGTTGGCCTAGCCGCATCAAAGTCCTCACGTTGAAAGCCCCAGATTCATTGATTGACGAGGCTTTAGAATCTGCAATCCATTCCGTGGTAAATCACCTAAAGTGCTATTTGGCAGTGACCTTTGGTGTGCGACATCTAAGTTGCTTGAGGAACTATTACAGGTCAGTAGAAGGGGTAAAGGGAGAGGGTTAGGAACGGAAGACAAAGAGTTAAACAAAAGTTGGGATATCTGAGCAGTAGCCCACTCATCACTACCCACCGCGGTCGATGCAATGGGCAGCGTGGTCCTGATTATCCTACGCGATGCAGTATGAAATTATTTTTTTGTGTATGCATTGGGGTTTGGTGGACGGGTACTGCTAGGGTGTCCAGCCACTAAGCAGGAGAACTATTAGGGTTCCCAACCAAAGCCTTTAGTTTTGCAAAAACCTAACCGCAAGGCAGAGGGTAAGACGAAGTGGAGGCCCATTTACCTGGATCGATTACTTCTCCACCGTTTTTTATCGACTGAAACGCCAAATTCCAGGCGAACCCCCAGCCTGGGGGACCAGGAGACTGAACTTCGTCTGACCTCTACCCATTGACCTTCCAGGTCTGATAAGATCTGGCTTTATAAAGCCATCCTGTGTAGCTCGTTGGGTCACAGAGGTGCACAAGCCATCACACCACGTCAAGGTGTAGTCTCGCCGTGATGGTGAGATACAACACGCAGAAGGTACAAAAATCCTGGCGAAAAATATTCAGACTTCGCCAAATCTTACTTGATGCGGTGATATTTGTCTAAATGTCACAGGTACCGTTGCGGCCTCAACACAGTGTCACAGTCGTCAACTCAATCCCATTCAGTCTGCTACAAAAGCCTGTTTGAAGCTTCAGTCAACCAAACCAGTGCATATGGCAGTTTATTTACATTATCAACCGGGAAATCTGGGTCTGGTGTTAATTTATCGTATTCGAGAAGGGTAAACGGTGTAGCGTCACATATCTCTAAGGGTCGTTCCTTTAACTAGTCTGTGGGTGCGTTTATTCGTTTGTACTTAGCGTACTACTCGTAAAAATCGGTCACAAAATGAACTGTTGTGAATTCCGATCCCGAATCTTGGAGAACCTGTGTATCGTTTTGTAACGGTCATCCCCGTCCGATATTGATTGACTCTATCGACCACGTTCTCAATTATATTCCCACAACATTTCCCTACTGTGTTGAGGCCATTGCCTAGATGTGCACTGGTATTCACGGATCAGAGGGAAACTGTGTACGCTCTCGCGCTTGTGCCATGTGGATCTGTATTTTAAATTACCGATTGTGTCTGCAGTAGGTGAACTGAGAATGGGACTTGGGCCGTTTAAGAATATGACTATAGGGTGGGCCACGACTGCTGATGCGCACTGTAATCGTTGTTTCTATGCCTACAATTTTACTGGTTGCGGATCGTTGTTTTCCCTGTTGTTTTGCTTGGTTATTGAGCGACTCCAGTAATTTACTGTACCTTTTTATTTATTAGGAATGTCCAACAATTCTGAATACTGTCGTTTGTTATTCACTCACCCTGGGGTTCCCAATAACTTAGTAACTTACCTTTGTCAAGTTTAATTATCGACGTGGGATGTTCATACAGCCTCTTTTCGAGGATTCAATCAGTTTTATAATACAATGGTAAAAATATCTTGTGGGGTGAGTGTATTCTCAAGAGATCAAACCACACCCACTCCTTTCTGATTCAGGAAGTGGTCCGCAGCTTGATTGGGTATCGAAATGTCTCGAACACTTTCGGTGTTCGATTCCGTCTTCAGGGTGTTTGATTCGATAAAATTGATCCCGATGGACTATGGTTTTCACAGAGCCCCGCTGCCTTGTGGATTGTAATTGGTCTAACCAAAGCCCCCGGTTTTGAACTCCCTACGCTGGGAACCAGAGGTATCTCATTTGTGAATGATCCGTGGAAACATTTCTGTTGTACACATTGTTCTGTCGTCATTTATTTGATAAATGATGTCTAGTCAGGCAATAATCATACACTCAAAACAATTTTCGCTATAACCTCCATTCTACTATAGTTCAGTTATCGACAGGATTAATTTTATCTCGATTTGATTGGTTTCCGTGATTTTTATGTGCATTGTTCCACTTTTAAGTCATGAATCTTGCTTTGGTTGTTTCTTAGCTTGTGGACTATAATCTCTCCGGTGGTAAGCGCATTCGTGGAGCTCTGGTGTCCGCCGCCATGGAAGCGTTTGCATCCAAAGAACTGGCTCGCAGGNGTCTTTTAATTCATGACCATGTGCGACCATCTTTTCAATAGATTCATGCTGGTCTGTTGGTTTTGGACGACATCATGGATGATTCTCCGGTACGGCGTGGTAGACCATCTTGGTTTCATGTGCAACGAAAAGCTGGATACGGACTGATAGCAGTAAATGATGGACTGCATCTGATTCTGGCCNTTCAAACGCACAAACCAGTCCGGCGTTCCTCCGAATAATCCGACTATTTGATGAGGTCTGCTACAAAACTTGTTGGGGACAGAATTTGGACACAATCTATGCCAAAACGGTTGATCCAGAGGCTGCAGATACCTTTTCAGGTCTAGACCTTGACGTGTATACATGGAAGCATTTTGAAACCATCACAAGATGGAAAACGGGATTTTATACTTTCTTTCTACCAGTGGCTTGTGGTATGGCTTTGGTAAGTTGCCTGCTTTTTTGTCATGAAAAAAACCTTGGACTCAGTTGACTGAGAGGCCATAATGGGTTCGTTTCTTCGACAAGGAATGCCACAGAACTATGTAAACCGAGTGAGATCATTGTACTTACATACTTCTGGCAGAGTGAGGGTCTACGGTGGGCTGCGAGAACCGTTCGAAACAAATGGCGATGCTCGTCATTCCAATCTAACTTCTTCGAAGACGAATTACTGTTGTACGCTCTTAGTAGTCCCCAAAATGTTATTAAATGGGCAGCTGGGGAGAAACTGTGTGATTTAGGGTACACTGACGATGTCATTTGTTTGTTCGAATGTATGAAGGATGAGCCAAGCGTTCTGGCCAAACTTTCATGTTGTGGTATGTGCTTTGCACCTTAAAAGTCCAACGTGATGCTGCAGGACAGTGTCTTCTACCCCGACTTTGATACCTGATGATGAAGAGTTAGTTATCGTGGATTGTTTCTCGTACACAGACAGTTCCGTGACAAAGAATGGTGGCGTAGTCAAGGCAGTATCCACCCACATTTCCAAGACACGTGCTATATACGCACTGCACCTTATTTGCAATTGTGGCTTCAGGTTGTAAGAAATCAAGGGGAGGTTAAGAAATGATGTAGAGGCGTGGTATGTAGAAATGCACAGAACGATTAGGTAGAGTAAGTGTCTCCCGTCTTTCAGGGCGGGGTCCGAAATCACTTCCTCTGGTTGGTTGGAGACACTGTGTAATTACATCGCACAAGTGGTCGAGAGCTTTATCTACCCCATGAGTTGTATAACGTCGAATTCCTCCTGTCTGATGGTACACCTTTCTGTCGAATTGAAATTAGGTTTCCATGCAGAGTTGGACGAGTTTCACTACTTCGTCAACGGTTAATGTTGTTCTTGATCGTAGATTTTGGCCGTTTTCGAGCGGGCGTAGAACACTTTTCATGACCATTTACTACGTCTATCCTAGCGGGGCTAAATGTGGTTCACCACTCCAAGTCCCGAGGCTTGGTTGGCCGATTTCCATCACTGAACGGCGGGTCTCCGCCGTTATGGGGTTCACTCCGTCTGCTGTTCATCACACAGTAACATGTGTAATAAAATAAATTTGCTCGAGCATGTTGGTTCGGTCAGGATATCTTTGATTTGCTCTAGAAATATGGTAGAACTTTTCATATCGTTGTGATTCTCAGGTAGGGATGAACGTAGCAGCCGGAGAAGGTTGTAGTTTGTTGGTGTTGTAAATGTGACAGTGAGTGATAATGGTATAAGGGGCCTGTGTATCTTGATTCTTCCGCAATTTTCATTGACGATTTTTCTTTTTATATATGATATATACTTGTATACGGTCGTAACACATGGATTATGCTGTTTAAAAGGGGTGAACAGAACTTAGTTGGCATTAAGTGGAATATTCAATGTTTTCAAGGGAATACCGGTTCAAGCAAGTTGAGGTATTAGATACGTTTGCAGATAATTTCGCTTTCGTTCGATTCATTACTACGGTTTCACTGCCGAGGTATCATGTGTTATTACCACTCCAACGTTCAGAGCTTAGGTTGCTGATTCCCGTTGCTTATTGACAGATTTGGTTTCCATGATGAATTCGTTGTGTAAATGAGGCATGAGCTGGAAAGTTGGGAGGCACTAGACAGCTGTTTCGACCTGGTTGGGTCTCATCAGCACTGCGAATCCAGTGCTGAGATGAGCGAGTACCGATACTCGCAACAAGTTCGCATAGGTGGGTTGTGCTATATCGTCTATATTCAAAAGGAGAAACTGCCTGATCAGCTTCCCGGTGGTCGAGTGGGTAGTATGCTTGCGTTCTGCTTGTGAGGTCCCGGATTAGGTCCCCAGTTAGGTCGATAGATTCGCACTGCTGATGAGATGTGATTTCGCTAGACTAGCTAGATGTGCTACTAGCTGCCCATTATTTTCAGCTATCCGTGGTACACTCACCGCCACACTTGGAAAAGCCAAATAGTCATTGTGACCACTTTATTTCCTAAAACCTCAGGTACACTAACACTTTAACGTTTTTTATCAATTCCTTGGTTGATGTAATATCTATTTCCTCCAAATTTGGTTTGTATCTGTTAGTCGTCGTCTATTTCGCTTACCTCTCAGACGGTCATTTCGGTGACTTCCAAAATTTGACCGTTATGTTTGCTGTTGCCGCTGCAAACTAAAACCGATCGGTTCGACCTAATAAGGTCAGCGTTGGTCGACACACTTACCGCCTTCGTTAGGCTCGTCACATGATGTTAAAACGTGATTTACAAAATAGAAAGTTCATTGCCAAAGCTACGAACTTACCGACTCGTTTGACCCTGGTCGTGATGACCTTTGATGACTC